CTCGCGCGCGGCTGGGAAAGGGGTGTGGCACCCCTCCGAAGGCGCCTCGCGAGGAGCTGCTGCTGCCTCCAAACGCGCTCGGGCAGCACGTCGGCGCGCCTGCGGGGTTGGGGAGGTGAAACTATGCTTGCTGGCACGCGCATCCCGCACCACCCCCACGTCCGCGCGCACCATGCCGCCATCCCACCTCACAGCCAAGCGCCATCGCCGTCGGACGCGGCGACGCCGAGCGGTGGCCTCGCAGACGACGAGCGCGATGAGGCCGCCGCGCCGCCGGAGTGGCCGGCGCGTGCCAGCCGCTGGCCCGTCCAGCGTGGCGGGACCGGCTCGCCCATCCTGGCCCGCGCGCTTGCCGACGCGAGAAGATCGCGCGAGAGGGCAAAATGTGGGCAAAATGGCCTGTTTGCCAACCCTTCACGGCGACTTCACGTCGGAACGAGTCGGATCGACGACTCCCCGCCTGCACCAGCGTGTGCGCCTTGCAATTCTATACAGAATCGACACGTGGTACGTCTTCTCAATCGCTCGTGGAGAGGAGCTACGGCCATTCCTAAGTAGTGTTCAACGACGTTGAACAATGTTCAACGTCGTTGAACACGGTCCAGTAACCGAGCGTCTCTCGGAATCCCTCCAGCGCCTCGCGATGCAGCGCCTCCGTGCCGTCCTGGTCGCCCTTGGCCTCCAGCAGCGAGCCGAGGTTGTTGACTTGTCTTTGTTGAATTCTTTTGCGGGATCCGTTGGTGTAAAAATCTAACAGCCGAACAAGCGCAATGCCGATCTTCTCGATCTTCTGGACCAGCGAGGCTTTTGCGGGGCACACGGCGGCTCCGGTCGCTCCTCAACGCAATCGCAAACTCCGTCCGTCGAAGCACGGCGGTACGGCTGGCGGCACAACGGCAGCGAACGGCAGGGTTCTCAAAGAACTGTTCTTCGGGAAAATCTTCTTCCTGGAATGCGGAAGGGTGTGCGGTGGCGCGGGAAAGTGGCATAGCCACAATGCCACAGAGTGCGAGCATCTCTCAGACACCAGAGAGTGTGTGTGGGGAGCTGGGTGGAGGGCGGGCACCCTGTGCCATCGTCTGGGCGAAGACCTGCGTCGCGTGCCCCCCTACCGACAAAGAGGCCGAACCGACTTCATCTCCTTCGAACCCTTCCCCCCTTTGCTCGGCCGCGCCTCGCCGCCGGTGAACGCGCCTCCGCTAACCGCTCCCGCGAGTGCAAACGCGCGTTGCTGTGATGAGCCATCTGGCATCGGTACGCCCTCGAGGTCCGGAAGAGATTCCGAGTCGGCCGAGTCATCAGCCCGGTCAAGTCTCCAGCCTCATCTGACCGATTGATACGCTCTCGACCCCAGCCAGGCAGGAGGCTATTTGCGTGTGCCCACGCGAGGTGCGGGTCGCCTGCCGGGGAGCGTGGGACGGGCTGAGCATCTGCGTACGGGTCAGGGCGAATGCTGTGACGGGCGCGCCCGCATCTGAACTGCTGCTCAATGAGAGCCAGCAGTGCGAGCCGGCACTTGGAGCACTGGGTCGCGCATATTTTTCTGCCGCGCAAGCTGGACTCTAAGACAACTCGGCTAAAGTCTCCCTCTTAACTGAG